TGTCTTCCTTCACCTACATATTTGTTATTCATTCTTCTGGAGGGGGCCGCTCCCCCACCTGCCTCTTCTTCCTGGCCTGCTCTCCCCCTTCTCTCCCCCCACCCCACTCCCCCACTCTGTAGTCTGTGCCCTGAGTGACAGGAGCCCCTGAGGCACAAACAGCTCCTGCTATGGGTTCTGCTAACACCCTGGGGCAGTGCCAGCAGAAAGGGGTGTGGCTGCCTGCGCTGCGGCTGCTCCTGCGGGCATGTGTGTGTGCGCGCGCGCGCGATGCATGCGTGGGCGTCTGTGTATGTGCAGGAGCTTGTGAGCATCTCTGTGTTGGTAGCAGGTGGGTGGTGTGCACTCAGTTCTACCTTCCCCGGTGCCCCCCCCCCCCACTTGTGCTCATAGCTAGTCATGGAGATGCTTCCTGTAGCCCACGGAGGGGGGTGCTGAAGCCCACAGAAGGCAGTGACATCCGCCCTCAGCCAGCCCCACCTGGGATCCCAGCTATGGAGCCTGCCCTAAGAATGCTGGCCATCCCCTGCCGACATCCACATGCCCCGAAGGGCCTCGAAGCCTGGGCCGGCGCCTGGCCGGAGGCTGCTGGGGGGAGCTGGGCAGAGGGACCTCAGACCCATGGCATGGGAACACCAGCTTCACTGCCGCCTCTGCTTTCTTCCAGATCTACAAGGACAACCGGAACCTGTTTGAGGTGCAGGAGAACGAGCCCCAGAAGTTGGTGGAGAAGGTGGCAGGAGACATAGAGAGCCTGCTGGCTCGGAAGGTGCAGGCCCTAAAGGTAGAGTGGTGGTGGTGGTGGTGGTGGTGGTGGTGGTGGTGTGTGTAGATAGGTGTGTGTGCATGTGCCTGTGTGTGCGCACGCAGTCGTGCACAGTGAGGGCTTTGTCCCATCTACCTGGTCCTTACCCCTGTGATCACACAGCCTTCTGGGCCCTCTGAATGCAGGCGGAGCACCACTGGCCAACTGTGCCCATGTGCTGTGGCAGTAGGGTAAGGATGTCAAGTGAGGCATAGGCTGTAGGAGGGGTGACCTGGGGTCTCTGAGGCCTTGAAAGGGCCCACCGCCCCCTTCTCTGGGGCCTGGACTCTTCCCCTTCCTCTGGGTCCCCTAACCGGTCTACAACTGATGCCTGGGATGAACGAACACCTGACCAGGCCAGTCACCTGCTGTCGGGGAGTCTGGGCCACCTGGAGCCAGGAAGGTGGAGAGATGTGGAGGGAGCCCGATGCCCCACAGAGCAAGCTGGAGCCCCGTGACCCTGCTCTACTCCTGGCCTGGCAATGTGTCTCTGTCCCCATCTGGGCCCCCACCTCTTCGTCTGTACCCCCAGAAGCTGTGCCTCTCGGTTCCTGACTCCATGTGCTGGGACCCCCTAGGTTGCTGGGAGCAGGCCTGGCACTCAGGCCACCCAGGGGGAGCAGTGGGGAGGGCCTTCTGTAAGTGCCCAGTGTCATAGGCAGGCGGTGAGGCAAACGAGAGAGGTGGGCCCACCACAGCGCCCCCCAGCCTGGGTCAAAGAGAAGTGAGCCCACTGGAAAGAAATGGATTCCTGATGATGCTGTGTGGGCGGACTCAAAACTTCCATTGCTTAGTGGGTGGACTTAAAACCGCCATTGTTCGGTGGGCAGACTCAAAACCATCATTGCTCAGTGGGTGGACTTAAAACTGCCATTGCTCAGTGGGCGGACCCAAAACCGCCATTGCTCAGTGGAAGAAACCAGCAGCCAGAGTGTGTCTTGGCTGGTCCCATTGTGTGCCATGTCCCAAATAGACAAACCCTCCTGAAACAGAAAGTAGATTAGCGAGTGCCTAGGGCAGAGGGGGTGGTGGGAGGCAAGGACAGGGAGCGACTGCTAATGGGCATGTGCTTTCTTCCTGAGTCAACGGAATTGTTCTAAAATTAGACGGAGGTTCGCACAACTCCAACTGCATTGAAGACCACTGAATGGTGGGGTTTATGGTGTATGTGTTATAGCTTAGTAAGTCTGTGTTTGTTTGTTTGTTTGTTTGTTGGGGCGGGGAAGGTGCGTGAGCCCACACTTCCCATGCCCAGGCTCAGACTAGGGTCCTGCAGGGTCAGTCAGGAGGGCCCAGCCCAGCCCTGCCTGCAGGAGCTGCTGGTGAAGACATGGGGAAGCAACTGGGGAAACGAATTGTTACAGGGAGGAGGCAAAGGGCAAGCCTTCCAGGGGTGTGTGTGGGAAAGGGGAGGTGTCTCCCCTGGTCATGGCAATGTTCCAACCACCTCATGTGCCAACACATCACCCCTCGCCTCTGTCTTTGCCGAAACTGGGTGCAGTGATAGTCTGTCTCTCAGTTCCTTGCCCCCCCCCCCCTTCCCAGATCCCTTGTAACTTCGCGCCTAGCCCCAGCTGGTGTTGGGAGAAGGCTCATCCTTCAGCGTGGGGGGTGGCTGCTGCGTGGGGACAGTGACAGTGAGACAGTCCTCCACACACAGGACTCAGGGGCTCCAGGGCAGCAGTCCCTACCAGGCCCTGCTCCCCTTTCCAGAGTCTCTGACAGCAGGGGTCCCAGGTCCCACCTCTCCCTGTACCCCACCCACCACCTGGGCCCTGCTCCCTAAGGCAGAGCAGCCATCTCGTCAGTGCTGCATACAAGCTAGTTTGCTGGGGAAAGTGCCCATGGACTGGACTGCTGTTCTCACAGCGCCACCCAGGGGATGCCACTGCACCAATGGGGAGACTGAAGCTTCGGGGGGCGGGGCCACACGTGAGGCCAGGATGTGGCCAAGGCGGATTTGAACTCCGGTCTCCAGCGTGCATCCTGGGGGTGCTTGTAACCTCCCAGACAGCTCCTGCTGCAGCGCCCCTGGCGGCAGGCCCTCAACTCACCCACCCATCCACCCTCAGCTGCAGCGGACAACCACCATCCCCCTCCTGGGTCCATCCAAATTGTTCGAGACGCGCTTTGGTCTTAATTATGTTTTACACCTGCCTTTCATCCAGCCCTGGCTCCCTTCTCCTTCCCACCATTTGTTTGCAGGCTGCGTGCACAGGGAGGGAGCCGTGTTGGGGGGCTGCGCCCCCCTCCACCCCTCTTCCATTGTTCCTCTCTCCCTGGACCCCATCCAGTAATCCAATTTAAATCCCCTCGCTCTGGTCTGGAATTTCAATTCAGGGCTTGCAGAGAGGGGGCCCAGCCGCCCAGGCTTTCCAGGACGGAGTTCATTGTCTCATGTAATCAGGGACAATCAGGTGTTAGAGCGAGTGTCTCCAAAGGCATCGGAGAGTCAGGCTGGAGCAGCCAGGTCTGGGGCAGTGGGGTGAAGGGGATAGGATGGGGGGGGGTGCGGGGCAGCACACAGCCAACCAGCAGCTCCAAGTCCAGGAGCGTCTGGGCCTCGGCTTCAGAAATGTGAAATGTGCAGGAAGCGGGCTCGGAGCCAGGGCCCAGCCCACACGTGGGTCCTGAGGCCCAAGACGTCTAAGGAGCCACCCTAAGGGACAGGGCCCAGAGCCAGGAGGGGGCAGACGGGGCACCTGGGAGGTGGCGGGGAGGGCAGAGGAGCTGGCATCAATCAGCAAAGATAGTGGGGGAAGTTTAGCACGGAGGCCTGACAGAGGACAGACAAGCAGTGTCAGCCCAGGGCACGGGCCCAGGCGTGGCACCCACTGCCAAGACCCAGCCCAGGGATGTCGCCCGGGAATGTTAGCAGAAGCCGGACAGAGCGGCAGCCCCATGGTCACCAGCATCTGCTGGCGTCCAGACGCTCTGGAAAGCTCACTGACGGTGGGCAGACGGGGCAAGGGAGCCGGTGGTGGCGGCTCTCCCGCCCACCCTTCCTGAGCAATTAAAAGGCGCTGACGTGGGGCTGGCAGTGGCTTCTGCCTCCCCTCCATTACACGCATTAAGAGATCTTGACCCCCCCACTTTCACTCTCTTGAAAGGCGCGGCAGACACGTGGAGCCAATTAGGCACACGCGTGGGCGCCAAAGGCCCTGATTGCGGTGATGCCGGCTGATTATTCTCCCCTCACCCAAACAGCGCCAACGCCACTTCCTAGAGAGACGCCCCTGCCTCCCAGAGGAACCTGCTGGGGTGGGGCAGGCAGAGCCTTGGTCGATGGGCATCTGTTGAGAACCAGCTGTGTGGAGACCCGGCCTGCAGGGCAGTCAGGGAGGCAGTGCAGGTGTGCTGAGGGCCCAGGAGAGATGTGGCAGCCCCACGTGGTAGGGAGTGCCACTCAGGGCAGGGCTCCCATGGGGCTCCAAGGAGGAGGTGCCTGCATTTGTGCGGAGCAAAGTGACCTGCTGGCCACGCCCCGACACACCGGGGGGACCTGGGGGATCAGCATGCACCCGAGACCACAGCAGGCTCAAGGGTGGGGACCAGTGAGATCCCAGAGGCTTCTAGACGGCTTGTAGGCCAATGGAGTGTGGCCTGGTGGAGCCTGGCAGGCCTCAGGAAGGTCAGGTTGGGAACTGGGGAGCTAGGACCCTCTTCCCCATAGAACAGACCCCTGACCTGGGTCCCTCTCCAAGGGGCAGGTGGTAAGGGTTCATCTGCTGGTAGCCTAGCCAAGGCCCTCCCCCTGCCGGAACCTGGCCGGCCAGCCTTCCACCCATCCCACCCCGTGGCTGAGTTCTGGTAGCGAAAAGGGCATGTGTCTAAACAGGAGGCTCAGATTCCGCCCACCCTGAGCTCCATCCTGCTGGGGGCACCAGGCCCAGGTGTCACCCCAGGATGGGGCGCCCCACCTTCCCTGCCCAATGACCCTGCCAGAGTGTTCCCCAAGGCCCCCATTCCCTCTCCTATTGATTCCCTTGCTCACTTGGGGCGTTCAGTAATCCTGTCCAGTTGCCCCTGGCCCAGCCTGGCCCCGGTCAGGCGTGGTACCAGTCTCCCTCTCACAGAGGAGGGCACCAGTGGCAGCGGTCAGTGCCTGCTGGCCCTCGCTCCAGAACCCACTGCCCCTCACAGGGCTCCTGTAGGTTAGAAGGCTGTAGTGAAGCCGCAGCCAGGGGAGGGGGTGGGGAGAGGTCACCTGAAAGAGGCCTGAACAGACACCTAGATTGGGCAAAAGCACACGCTGCCCTCGAGCCAACTCCCAAGACCCCGCAGGGCAGGGCAGAGCTGCCCCTGTGGTTCTCCGAAATGGTCACTCTTCATGGGAGTAGAGAGCCTCATCTTTCTCCCCAAAGACCGGCTGGTGGTTTCAAACTGCCGACGTCCCCGTTAGCAACCCTGTGCATGAACCCCCTACACCCCAGGGCCTGGAGATAGAACTCCACAGGAGATGCTGGGGTGGCGCTGGAGAGGGCACCCCCGATGCACGCAGGCCAGTGCCACCCCTAGAACCCCCTCACCCCAGGAGAGGGGGCTGAGGACATAGGCTGGGGGTCTGTCAGTCAGATGGAGGACCAGAAACCATGGGCCTGAGGGAGATGAGATGCAGGGGGCTCCACTCCCCAAAAGAAGGCCTGACCTGAGGGGGGACCCCCTGAGCTGGTGCCCACCCCCCCTGGGGGGTCCCCATGGGAAAGGGGGTAGAAGCTATGGAGCAGAATGAAGAGGCCAGCAGGTGCCACAGGGACAAACCAGCCTGATTTAGGATCAGAGAAGAGAGATTTAATGGAGTTTTAATAGCATCTGGCCCTTGGGTCTGAAATCCTCGCATGCCAAGGTTGGGGGCAAGCTTGGGCGGGGCTCATTCCGACCCCCCAGGGCCTCAGAGTACAGGCTCCCTGGCCCCAAGTGCACACAGTTCACGTGGGGGCGGGGGGCCGGGGGTGGGAGCAGTTTAAGAAGCCCACCTG